TATTTCTTATTTCTTAATTTAGAATATTTAATAACAATTTTTATTAATTAATTGCATTAAAATTATTTAAATACAAAACCAACCGAAAATTGACCAAGGTTTGACCATGGGTCAACCGAAAGTTGACTTCGGTTTGACCGAAGGCCAACCGAACGTTGACCTCGGTTTGACCGAGGGCCAACCGAACGGCGGCTTCGGTCGTCGAAGGGAGGGCGTCGAAGGGAGGAGGGAGCTGACCTTCTCCGGCGAGTGGGGTTTGACGGCGCTGTTGGCGAAGACGGCGACTGCTGGCGCTGTTGGCAACGATGGCGACGGCGAGTGGGGTGCGGCGCGACGAGGTGGACTGACGGAGCGCGACTCCCCTCCGGCGGCGTGGGTTGCGGCGGCGGACGACGCTGCGGACTGACGCGACTCCAGCGGCGTGGGTTGCCGCGGCGGACGGCTCCGGCGAGGTGGGTTGCGGCGGCTGCTCTGCTGCCTGCGGCGGCTTCCTTTTGTCGGGGGAGAGTTGTCTGTCGGGGGAGAGGAAGTGGGGGAAGGGGTTGTTTGTTTAGGGTTTGTTTAGGGTTTGTTTTTGAATTTTAGAAAGGGTAATTCAGTAAATTACGTATTAACTTAGGACGACAGTTAATAATTCTTAGGACGACCTTTAACCCTTCAGATTCAAAACACCCTTCTCAAATCTCGTGTTTTATAATATGCTTCCTTTTTGGATTCTTGTTCTTTACTCCTGTCCATGCCATGAGAAAACATGCACAGGATTGCACAACATCATGATTCCTATTTGGCTAAAAGCTCATTTTGAAGCCTCAATAGGCCCAACAAGCAAGACCTCTGAGAGGCAGCAAGCACTGTACATCTCTTCTTATAGAAGACAGCACTGATCATATGGAAGGATGGATAATTGTGCCACACACAGAAACATGTCCAAAAAGTTATGGGAAACATGCAACTATTAACTGCAACAAAGTATGTTTGTTTCCTTCCATATGTTTGTCCCTTTAATTAACTGATGCAGTTGTCTGAATAATTATGGAACAAAGCATGTAGTTAGGAGCATGGAATGTGAACATATATATACATTTATGTGTGTGTTTTGGTTTGGACAGTGATGATATCAATCACTTGTCATAAGCCATGCCCCTAATGTGACTTTATATATACTAATGATGAATAAGAAAATATTAAACAGTTGATTAAGATGATGAACTCGAAAAGAAAGCATTGATGTTGATGATGATCACCATGCCAAAAAGACAAACTAGCTCCTAATTAAGTTGCTGAGTAATAAAGAACTCCGTGGAAACTGGAAAGTTAGATTAACTGATCAGGGTTGAGGCCCAAGATCATGTAAACAAAATTATAAATATAATACTATAATATTAAGCACTTGATCGGAATCGTCGCTAGAAACATGAATGTCACCACTCACCATGTTTTTCTAGTAAGGATCATAGAGCGGCAAACCACGAGAATATTTGTACCAGTTCACATGGACTAAGTGTAGACATCAGATCGAATTGAGATAATACCGGATCATAATCGGACCGATTTATTTAATTTGATTAGGTTTGGTCTAAATTCAATTATGATGCAAGTTCCTTCGTACATAAGATAAGTTGAAGGATCGAAATCGAATCAAAATATATTTTTTGATTTGATTCAATCAAAATATCAATTTTCTACAATTTGATCCGATGAAGACTGAATCGTTAGCTCACCCCAACACACCACTACTGAACATAGACTTCATATGTGAATTTCAATTTTGAAACTTTTATTTATAGTGGTTGTCTAATTTATATTCCTATGTATCTAATATCTCAAATTTCATCTTCGTTAACTTTGGTTGTTAGTTGTAAAAAGCAACTTTCAATAAAATATTATTTCTGTCATCCTTAATTAATAACAACATTTTAAAAATATATAATATAATTAATGTTTTCCCTTATAAATTTACTATTTGGTTTTATTTTATTTTCATTTTCAAGCTGGAGTGACTGCCTTGTTGGTATGGATGATATATAATTATCCATTCATGGGTAATTTTACCAAAATTCAAATAAACCTATTAATTATGGATAAGGTATAAATGAAGTCTATATGAGGTTTTGCTTGTTATGAGTATTGCTTTCATATTCTAATTGAGTATGAGTTGGGTATGAATTTGGCATGGACGCCAATTTACATGAGATTGCTTTAGCTACACGTAAAAAATTGGATCTATTCGTCAAGTTTTAAAAGGTTTAAAAGTTGAGGTATCAAAATGTAAGGCAACAAATTTTAGATACTAAACTGTCAATATTTATTGATATTTTGAGAACTTAAAATGAAAACAAATAAATTTAGGTACTAAATCTTAAAATCTTTTAAGTTTAGGTACTAAAGTATAATTTGCATATATTGGAACAACCCTAACCCATAGATTAAAAATCCAGCCCAACCCAAATAAATGAGTTTAGGTATTAACCTATTAAACTTGATCATTCATCTTGTATTTGAATTTCATATCCAACCCAATTGGATTTGATAAATAAATACTTATCGATTTGGCCAAAATTGTCGATCTCGTTTGCACCATGCTTAATTTACATTTTACGACCTAAAATTAAATACTAGAGGATTGCATCAGGATAAAAAATTATAGTTTTTATAGTGGCCTAATAAAACTACAATTTGCTCATTTCTTTCATTTTTCTTCTTCCTTTTTATCTCTAGATACTTTCACCACTATAACTATATAGAGAGGGGATGCTAGGATATTCCACCCAAGAGCCCACCCTATGGCACAAATGTGCCCAAGCCAAAATGGCTAAATTATAATGATTACATGGTCTTGTGTGAGAAGAAAGGTTGGCGTGGTTGGAACTACTAGTAGTGTACTAGTATTACCCTAGTGAGAGAGAGAGAGAGAGAATGGAACAACGTGGCAAAGGGTTTAGGGTGGGGGCTCGGCTCCTTTGAGGCTTTGACCACCCCAGCCAAACCCACCAAAAAAGAGTAAACAGATTTGTCTAAAACTAAAGAACTCGTAAAGAGAAAACAATTAATATTCATGATATACAAGGCTAAATAGTTTGTGATATAGATGATATACGGACATAATCTAAATTCACACGATTATAAAAAAAAAATGGAAGAAATTGTTTGATTGTTAGTCACTTTTTCAATTAGATCGTCATCAACTCCAAGCAGGAGCGGAGCTATATAGGTCTTAGGGGCCCCTGGGAGGGACAGCCTCTAGAATTTTGAAACTTAAGTGTAAATCGCTACAAAATTCAAAGAATTACTTAAAAAATGCGTGTTGAATACTAAAGTGTGAATAGAAAGTTCGTAGAAGTCTCTATTGGTCTAGCGGACGGATGGTTAACCTTGTCCATTAATGGTCTAGGTTAGATGGTGTACAACAGCATTTTTGCACGTTTGACAGTTTTTTTTGTAAGTTTCATTTTTTGCTTGCTAAGTCCTATAACAGTTTGTTTTATAAGTTTCATTTTTTGCTTGCTAAGTCCTATACCTTCAAATTAAGTTAAGTAGAGTTCTTGAACTCTTGAATTGGTAATTTAAGAATTCTTTTGCTCATATGGTCAATTAGTTAATTCTTTTTGAAACACTAATACAAATAATAAGTCATTTTTCAATTAAATAAATACTGAATAATATGGTATACACTATACATTGTCTTGCATAGTTAATTTTGTTTTTATATAATTTGCTCATTTGTTATGAACATAAAATTGTAGAAACTTTAGATTGATTCCAATGATTTTTTTTTCAAATAAAATCTTACCTCATTATGAGAATATAATTATAATTTTCATTAACCTATTCTTCTCGTTATTTTTCTTTTGTGTTTTAACGATAATTCATTATTAAGTCATTCGGCCCCCCGAACCTAAACTCCTGGCTCCGCCCCTGACTCCAAGAGTTATTGAAATCTAAGCCAATTATCTAAAATCTCAAAGACATCACAGATTTACTTTCGTTACAGGTAAATAAGAACAATACAATTCAATCACTCAGACTCAACTCGACTCCAAGTGACAGTTTCTAAATGCACTTATTCTTACGTTGTTTTTTCAATTTCCGGCGAGTCTATCTTTCCCGTATTCTGTTTGTATTTCCGTCTAACCTACCAAATGAAAAGGGCGCCAACCACATTTTTAATTTTGGATTACAGAAAATGAGAGAGATCCATATACATTAGGGATGACAACAAAACCCGAACTCATGGGTATCCACCCGACCCAACCCGGTCAATGCTGGTAAAACTCGTGTTGACGGGTTTTGAGCCGGGTTCGGGTTTAAACCCACTACACTTATTCAACGGGTTGGATTTGGGTTTAGGTAAACCCGCCCCATGGGTACCCGCCCACACATATAATTACTTTCCCGGTATATTTAATATTCTAAATAATATATCTTCTTTAAACAACTAATATTATTTATGTTTGTGGAGACATGTATAATTTGTTCTTTCTAATTGTTTAGAATGAAGTTGATATTATTGAGTGGAGAGTGAAGAAACTTATTTGACGAGGAAGAAGATTTCAATTAATCTTGTTGTTTATAGATGTTTATCTTTAATTTTGAACAATTTGTATTGATCATTTGCGGTTTGCTTGTATGTTCTAGATTGGTGTTTTTTGTATGAATAATTTGTATGAGAAAATTGATGTTAAATTTTTATTTTGAAAGAAATTTGTTATTGTAAATTTTTTACCACAAAAACCCACGGGTGCCCATGAGCCCGCGGATACCCAGCGGGTTGGGTTGGGTTTGAATTTTTCAAACACAACGGGTTTTATCCCGGGTTTTTTTGACGGATAAACCCATATGAGTTTGGGTTTCACAAAACCCACCCCAACCCAACCCATTGCCATCTCTAATATATACATGGCGTAAGACCAAAGGAAAGAAAGCCTCCGTACATTGTATTATTGTATAGAGTATTTTAGTTTGTATATATATAAATCATCATCATTACTTACTATTATGCGCTTGCTGCTTCTGGTCCAAAAGAGAAGCCGAGTCGAGTCTACAACAAACAACATGCAATAGAGTGCAGCTGCGGCAGAAGATCATCATTTCATTCCAACCAGCACCACACAGAAAGCTAGCTTTCTATTATAATAAAACAAAAACAAAAAACAAGAGAAAGCGAAAAAGGAAAGGTAGAGAAGAAGAAGAACAAGAGGTAGAAGAAAAAAGCATCCCCAGCAGCCCCAGCAAAAAGAGGATAAAAAGCCTCACTTTCAACCATCCATCACCATCATCTCCAAAACTCAATCACAAACCCTTCTCCTTCCTTCCTTAGGGGCGTATTTTACCCTAAACCCTAAATCACCAACAACAACAAGTCAACAACAAGACGGCGATTACACCATGCACCACAGCGACTCCTCTACAGCCGCAACCTGCTTCTACGGCGGCGGAGAACCGATCCAGCAGCTGCCTTCCCCTTGGTCAACTTTCCCATACCACAATCCGGTCAACTCATACGAAACCCATCATCAAGACCAATTCCTCATCCCGCCGCCTCTTCCGTCGTACGGTGGGTTCTTCAACCGAGGTCCGTCGTCTTTGCAGTTCGCGTACGACGTTGGATCGTCGGCAGCGGATCATCTGAGGATCATATCCGAGACGTTGGGCCCGGTGATCCACCATCATCATCCGTTTGGGCTGCAGCTGGCGGAGAAGATGACGGCCCAGGAGATCATGGACGCCAAGGCCCTGGCCGCTTCCAAGAGCCACAGCGAGGCCGAGCGGCGGCGCAGGGAGAGGATCAACAACCACTATTCCAAGCTCCGCAGCTTGCTCCCCAGCACCACCAAAGTACGTAATACCCTCCAACCCTAATTCATTCATTCATTCAATCTGATTTTTTTTCTCCCTCTGGTGGCCGTTGGTTGTGAATTAGGTTTCTTTAGTGATAATTATTGTGAAAGGAAGGATCTTTAGACTAAAAACTTGCTTTATGATGGGTTTGAAAGTCGATCGGGATTTTTTGGTTGTGATTGGGATGAATGTGCATGCAGACGGAAAAGGCTTCGCTGCTGGCGGAGGTGATCCAGCACGTGAAGGAGCTGAAACGGCAGACGGATCTAATAGCCGAGACCACCCCGGTGCCGACGGAACTCGACGAGCTCACCGTCGACGCCAACTCCGACGAGGACGGGAGATTCCTCATCAAAGCTTCCCTCTGCTGCGAGGACAGGTCCGACCTTCTCCCTGACGTCATCAAGACCCTCAAGGCGCTGCGCCTCCGCACGGTGAAGGCCGAGATCACCACACTCGGGGGTAGGGTAAAAAACGTCCTCTTCATCACCGGCGACGACGAAAACACCGACGAGGGCATTCATCATTATGGGCATCATCAGCAACAAGCGGTGCAGCAGTACTCGATAAGCTCGATCCACGATGCGCTGAAGGCGGTGATGGAGAAGGGCGGCGGAGGGGATCATGAGTCTTCTTCCGGGAGTGTCAAGAGACAGCGGACTACTAACAACAACAATGTCAACATCATTCGAACAACAACATAACAGGTCTCTATAACGTACGTTTTTTTTCCTTGGTGCATGTTTTTATTAATTATGGGTTAGCGGAGAGGTCTCTCTATGATTTAGAAAAAAAAGGAGACACTCCTCCCACTCAAAAATATCTTTTGGTTCTCTTTGTGTGGTGTGGTTTTCTTGTTATTGGGTTGTTCATTTTTTTCTTATTTCTGGGTTTTGGATTGGCAGTGAAGGGAAACGGGTAATGATGAATGCTGATTAAGCAAAATATATGGAGAGATATGAATGAAATACTAGTAAGGGTTTTGTACTTGCCGTTTGATCCAAAAACTGGGCTACGTAGGAAACTTATGTTTTTTTTTTTTTTTTTTTTTTGTGGTTGAAATGATGAGAAGTGACGATCGAAGAAGAAGAAGTCTGTGGGTGTGTTACTTTGTGTGTTGGTTTTGCAAGGAAAAAGAAGGTGTGGATAAGGTTATTTACGTACTTTTACTCACTTGGTTACGTTGGTTGGTTTTACAACTCGTCGTCTTCTTCTTCTTCCACCACCAGTGGAATATCAGAAATCCTCTTTTGGTTGTGTTTTTTGCTTTTAGCTTTTGGAGTTCAATTTTGGTTGAGTGGCCGGGGTTGGAAAGAAGGGGAGAGTAATGGGATCAAAACATAAGATCATGGTGACGATGGAGTTGTCGTCACTTTTCGCCGTTTTCTTATGAATTTGGATGTTGTGTGTGTTTATGAGATCATGGTGACGGTGGAGTTAGCGTCATGCAATTCCTGAACTGAAATTCCTTAGCTTCCTGCTCTTCATGACATGAGGCTCTCACTCACTGCTCCACAATCATAATCATGCAATGCAAGTACTACTATGATTGCTAGCTAGCTCTTCCCAACTCCATCATGATCATCGTCTTACACACACACACACATATATATATATATGAACTGTTGTTTTCAAAAGGAAACCCTAACTGACAGTGGGGATTTCGTGTTGCCTGAGTTACATATGTAATATTCTTCTAGTTTTGGTGATCTAAATCTGCTATTCCTTTCCCCTCAAAGTTTTGTTGTCCGAGTTATATGAACAATATTGTCATTGAGTCTTGCCCAGAGAAAAAAAAGACACAGCAGGCAGCAGCGAGCTATCGATTGTCCAGACGATTAATGTGATGTGTTAGGTTTTATATTATTATTATTATTATTGATAGTGTGCGTGATCCATATATATATGGGTGGTCTCCTTGTTTAGTGTCTCTCTTGATTATTGATATATATATATATAGTGTTATGAAATGATGGGATTCTAAGAAATTTCATCATTTTTAATGGCGTAGTCATGGGTCTATTTGCTAATGTATTTAGGAGGCTGCCAGCTTATGCATTGTTCCAGATAGCCCATCATCTCAATAGTTAATTCTACTGAAGCTGCGCATGCTGTAGGATTGATTCTTGGTTAATTAAGAAACATGTTCAAAAGCATGGACTGAACTCCATTTGTTCTCAACATTCACTAATTTTTCTATTTGAAAGAGTGGTTGAGTAGTATCATCACTATTTTTTTGTGACTCGTGTATGTATATATACAAAATGTGACTAGACACTAGAGTATTTTTGGAAAAGTTGGCGGCGAATAACGTGCCTCTTGCTAAAAATGGTTTCTCCTGAAGGAATGACACATTAACGGGCGAATCAGTTTTGCTCACATTGCAACGAGTATTATATGAATTGCCGTTGATGTTCAAATGCGAATGTGTTACTCAAAATTGGGGCGTGCGTGAAGGCGAGGGTGATGGTCATTTCATCCACAAGGATGGCCACCCTTAAAACTTAAAAGACAATTAGGTAGGGCTGATAGAAACCTGTAGTTGAGAAAAGGGAATTGGGGATTGAAGAAGAAAGGGAATTAGGGATTTAGAAGAATTGGGGGAAGAATTGAGAGAAGATGAGATTAGGAATTTGATTCTTTCTTATTGCTTAATCTGAAAATACTGTTCTAAACCTTTATATATGGGGTATCAAAATAAACAAACAAACCGGGCCAATAGGTCGGCCCTCCCTACACGCCTAACCCGCGGAGCGGGTTTCTATCATCCCCTCTCCCTTCAGAATCGACCTTGCCCTCAAGGTCGAAGGTGGGGTAACGTTGCTTCAGCAGGGAAGTCTCTTCCCATGTCGCGTCCTCTGACTCCACATGCTACTACTCGACTAGGCTCTCCTCCACAATGCGACTCGCCTTTCTCGTCAACCTCGTCTCAAGCACCCGCAACGGCTTCAACTCCAGGTCTCCGTCTGCAGTGACAGGAGGAGCCGCAGTCTCTACCTGATTCGTCGTTCCCCTATACTTCTTCAGCAATGACACATGAAATGTTGGGTGAATGTGGGCACCTACAGGAAGCTGCAACCTGTACGCCACCGGATTAACCTTCTCCAACACCTCATAGGGCCCAAAGAACTTCGCAGCCAGCTTCTGGTAGGCCCGCTGGAAGACTGAAGCCTGACGGTAAGGGGGTAAGCGAAGCAACACCCAATCTCCCACTTCGAACTCTTCCTCCCGTCTTCCGCATCCGCCAACTGCTTCATTTTGTTATTAGCTGCTGCCAGATTGGCCTTGAGCTGCTTCAAGGCTTCATCACGCGGTCCCAACCACCGATCCACCGCATCCACTGCACTAGCGCTGTTCCAGTAGCGCATCAAGGAAGGAGGGGGCGCCCATACAGAGACTCGAACGGGGACATCTTGATGGCTCGGTGATAGGTGGTATTATACCATAATTCCGCCCACAAAACCATGGCCAACCAGTTCTTCGGCTGCTGGTGCGCAAAGCAACGAAGGTACTGCTCCAAATGTCGATTAATCACTTCAGTCTGACCGTCCGTCTGAGGATAATAAGGTGAGCTCACTGCAACGTGGTCCTAGCCATGGAAAATACCTCCTGCTAGAAGCGACTCAGAAAAACGGAGTCCCGGTCACTTACTATCGACCTCGAGAACCCGTGGTGCCTCACCACACCCAGCACAAACTGCTCTGCCACCGCCTTTGCCGTGTACGGATGTGCTAAAGCCACGAAGTGAGCATATTTGGTGAGCCTGTCAACTACCACAAACAGGACGGTCTTTCCTCCTGGCGGTGGAAGACCAACAATGAAGTCCATGTTGATGTCCTCCCAGACCTATTCCAGAACCGGTAACGGCTGTAGCAAACCCGCAGGACGAAGCTGTGAAGCCTTGACCCTCTGGCAAGTGTCACAGGAATCCACATAGCTCCTTACATCCTGCCCCATCTGTGGCCAGTAGAACTGAGCTCGAACCCGGCGAAGAGTACGCTCCAGCCCGGAATGGCCGCCGAAGGGTGAATCATGGAACTCCTGCAGTATGGTCGTCACCAAGGATGATCCCCGCGGAAGGACCAAGTGCCCTTTGAAGAACACCAGGCCCTGCCGAAAGGTATCGTGACCCGGATTCTCGCTATCCACGATGGCCCGGCACTCCTGCAGGTATGGATTTGTCCCTGTCTACTCGCGCAGGGCGTCCCAAAACTGGGGTACAGGACCAGTCACTGCCGCGAGTATCTCGACTCCTGGATTTCTGAAAAGCCCATCTGCAACCACGTTAGTGGGCCCCAGTCCTTAGTGAATCTCATAGTCATATCCCAACAACTTTGAGACCCACTTATGCTGATCCGGGGTAGAAACCTTCTGCTCTAAGAGGTTCCGCAGGCTCTGGTGGTCGGTGTAGTTAAGGAACTTCTGCCCCAATAAGTACGGCCTCCACGCCTGTACTACAGTGATGATAGCTTGCATTTCCTTCTTATAAGTCGACCATGCTTCCTTGGATGGGGCCAAGGTCTTGCTCAGAAAAGCTACCGGGTGATGGTCTTGGGACAGTACCGCCCCAATTCCCTTGCCGGAAGCATCAGCTTCGATCACGAACGACTTCGAGAAGTCTGGCATAGCCAGAGTGGGCGTAGTCGTCATAGCCTGCTTCAGTGCCTGGAATGAATCCTCCGCCGCCTGAGACCACTCGAATCCGCCCTTCTTCAGAAGATTAGTCAGAGTTCAAGCTACCATGTTGTACCCCTTAACGAACTTCCTGTTGTACCCCGTCAGTGCAAGGAAGCCTCTCTACTCTGCCACTGTAGTCGGGACTGGCCACTCCACCATCGCCTGAATTATGGTCTGGTCAACCCGCACTCCCTGAGGTGTCACAAGCCCCAAATAATCCACCTCTTGACTTCCAAATGAACACTTGGAAGCCTTGACATAGTACTGATGCTGGCGGATAATCTCGAACACTTTCTGTAAATGATGCAGGTGATCCTCCCAGGAAGGACTATAGACAAGTATATCATCAAAGAACACCAAAACATACCGCGCGAAGGAGGGGCTGAAAGATATCGTTCATGGCTGCCTGGAAGGTCGAGGGTGCATTACACAGGCCGAACGACATTACTAGGTACTCATAGTGTCTGTTATAAGTCCGGAAGGCCGTCTTATGCACATCCTCTTCCTCCATCCGTATCTGGTGGTACCCGGCCCGTAAATCCAGCTTGATGAAGTAGGCCGACCCGTGGAGCTCATCCAGCATATCATCGACGGTCGGAATCGGAAGCCTGTCCTTCACTGTCACCTTATTGAGGGCCCAGTAATCTGTGCAGAAACTCCAGGTCTCGTCCTTTTTCTTTACCAGGAGTACCGGCGAGGAAAACAAACTGGTGCTTGGGCGAATCAACCCTGTCTCGAGCATTTCTCCCACCTGGCGTTCAATTTCTTCTTTCTGCGAATGCCCATACCGATAGGGTCGTACATTCACAGCCTCCACCCCTTCCATCAAATTAATACGCTGATCAACCTGGCGGTGCGGAGGAAGGGTCGTGGGAGTCTGGAATATATCCGGGAATCGGTCGAGCACGGCCTGCAAATTAGCCGCGACGGCCTTTGTTGGCTGCGCAGCCAGCGGCCAACAGAGGACCGCGAAGTCCGCCTCCCCTCCAGCCGTGCACTCCCTGAAGGAAATCGACCCCATCACCGTGGTCAATCCCTGCAAGGTCCACTCCTTATCCCTACACTTAAAACACATAGTCAAGCTAGTCCAATCACTGATAATCGGACCCAGACTGCGTAGCTATGGCATCCCCAGTATCACATCATACCCCCTGATCGGAAGCACATACAGATCCGCTGAGAACTCCAACCCATGGATGTCGAGTTTGAGATCTCGGTAAACCTTGGTACACCGCATGGGTGCGCCATTCGTGACCTTGACCACCAACGGCTCCATCTCGCAGGCCTCCTGTGTTAGGGTGTCA